TTGACCACGATGTCGTCTACGTAGGCCTCAACGGTTCACCTAATGAGGTCCCCAAAACACTTGAGCATACAACACTGATAAGTGGCCCCATGTTTTTTAGACCGAATGACATTGTAACATAGCAGAATGATCCAATCGTGGTGATGAAAGACGTCGCGAGTTGGTCGGACTCTTTCATCAAGATTTGATGGTATTCGGAGTTGCTGGGGTCTATGAGGACCTCCTTGACACCCTCCACGGGCTCAAAAGATCTAGGCAACCGCTTGGAGTCAGGTGCCTCCTCGGCGGCCCCCTCCCTAATGACCGCGAGCTCCTCGGAGGTGATGATTGCTGAGGCGTGCTAGCAGCACTCAACTTCGCACTTGTAAGCGCGCTGAAAGGAGGCGCCGACGGTGATGACTCTGCGTGGGCCTGGCATCTTAAGCTTCAGGTAGGTGTAGTTGGGGACGACCATGAACTTCGCATAACATGGTCACCCCAGGATGGCGTGGTAGGAACCGTGGAACTCGACCACCTCGAAGGTGAGAGTCTTCGTCCTGTAGTTGGCTGGATCCCCAAGTGATGGGCAGATCGATCTGCCCGAGCGGTACGGCCTGCTCCCCTAGCACGATGCCATGAAAAGGCGCCCCGGTTGGCCTGATGCACGATCGGTCAATGCCCATGGCATCGAGCATCTCAGCATACATGATGTTGAGGCGGCTACCTCCATCCATCAGCACCTTAGTGAGCTGCTTCGTGCCGATGATCGGGTTGACCACGAGCGGGTATGTTCCCGGCCGTGGGACGCTTTTCGGGTGGTCGGTCCGATCAAAGGTGATGGTGGTCTCCGACCATCGGAGGAAGGAAGGCATGGCCGGCTCGACCATATAGACCTCGCGGTGCGCAAGCTTCTAGCGGCGCTTAGAGTCATCGGCCGCCAACCACCCAAAGATGATGAGGCAGCCATCCAGCGTCGGAAAGCCACCGTCCTTCCCCTCGGCGTCGTCTGCTGCCGACTTAGGCTCCTTCCTATGCTCCCCTTATTGGAGCCACCGAACGAGAACTGCTTCATGAGGGCGCAATCTTTGTATAGGTGCTTGAAGGGGAAGGCATGGTTCGGGCATGGCCCTTCGAGCAGCTTCTCAAAGTGGTCTAGGGTACCCTCATAGGCTTTTGACCCCCCCTTGCGGTTGGCAGTGGCCACGAGTGAGCCCCCGTGCCGCTGCTTGTTCTTCTTCTTGTTAGGGCGGTTGGAGGCGCCTTCGCCGGCGTCCTCGTCCTGCTTTGCCTTGCCCTTGGGGCGGTCAAAAATTCCTCCGACTGCTTCCTCACCTGAGGCGTAGCTGGTGGCGATGTCGAGGAGCTCCTTGGTGGTCCGCGGGCCCTTGCGCCCCAGATTGTGAACCAGGGACTCGCAAGTGGTCCCGGACAGGAAAGCTCCAATGACGTCGGCGTCGGTGATGTCGGGCAGCTTGTTGCAGTGCCTGGAGAAGCGTCGGATGTACTCACAAAGAGTTTCCCTAGACTTCTATCAGCAATTCTTGAGATCCTAGGGGTCCCAGGGCGCATGTAGGTGCCCTGGAAGTTTCCCACGAAGATCTCCTTTAGGTCCGTCCAACTTTGAATCTGGTTGGGCAAAAGATGCTCCGGCCATGTTCGCGCCGAATCAGCCAGGAACAAGGGGAGGTTTCGGATGATGAATTAATCATTATCCGTACCATCGGCTTGACAAGCAAGCCGATAATCCTCGAGCCACAGGCTGGGGTTTGTTTCCCCAGAGTATTTCAGGAAGTTGGTTGAAGGTCGGTACCGCGGTGGGAAGGCGGCGTTGAGGATGTGCCGATTGAAGAGCTGAGGTCCCGGCAGGTCAGGGCTCGAGCTTCTGTCCTCGCCACTGTCATAGCGTCCACCGTGGTGAGGGTGGTAGCCACGGCCGGCTTCCTCTCTCTCGTTGCTTCATCCTCGCCTACGGGCATCCAGGGTGTTACGTGCGTCACGGTGGAGGCCGAGATGCTCATGCACTGGGGCCGCGGCGTGCCACCCGCCGCCTTGTGGCACCTGGTGGACAGACACGTCCCTGACATGTTGTCCCAAGGGCACGCGATGACTGGCGTCGAGCTCGCATCACCGATATAGCGAGCTCTCCGCCTACTGCACCGCTGCTCGCTCGAGCAGTGTGTGGATCTCACAATGGGCCCAATGATCCTTGGGTATCATGAGCTCTGGGAGCCCTTGGAGCAAGGCCGCCGCGGCAGCGATGTTCTGGCTTGCTTGGACGAAGTGTGGGAGGGCTCCATCGTCTTTGATGATCCTCCGGTTCACGTCGCGGGCCATGGCGCGCGTACGCCCACCGTCTCCGCGGCGCTCGATCTCTCGCTCAAGCTCTACACCCTCCTTCTCGAGTTGGAGTCATGCATCCTCGAGCTCCTGGTGCCGTGCCCTTAGCTGTTCCAACCACATGCGAGGAAGGGGCCCTGCATCTTCCTCGACCTCGTCGTCGAGGTCGTATGGTGGGATAGCCCCTCCCTTGTGGAGGCTTTCGACGCGTCCCTCGGGGGTACCCGCCATAAAACATTCTCGCGAGGGGTGATGGCTCCCCCTGCTGGAGTCAGAGTCGGAGAGCGACTCTGAATCTCTCACGAGAAGGTCATGGAAAGATTCCGCGATGTATTCGGTCATCCCCACAAACTCGCAATTCGTAGGGGATGGGTGCATGAGCTGCGCCACGAGGTGGCCAACGGTCCCCGCAACATTGCGTAGACCGAACAGGAATGCTGTCGGGGCGCCCGGGGTGAGGTCTTCCGGGGAGAGCGGTTCCCCTCCGGCGAGTTGCGTCATGGCATTGGCGAAGGAGAAAGTAAGGCAGTGGAACTCCTCTCGGCACGGTCGGGGTCCCAAGAAGGCATCGAGTTGGCGCTCCAGCCTCCCGTAGTCGAAGCCGAGGAGCCGGTCGCTCCTAGGGACACGTGCCTCTAGTGCGTGCAGCTGTAGCTCCTCAAGCGCCTCGACGATCGCATCGAGGCCGGTAGAGTGGAGAGGCTGGAAGGCGGCGGGAGCCTGCACCAACTCTCCCTCGATCGTGACGATGAAGTTTAGGCTCCTAAAGCGCTCGTGTGCACCTGGGACCCGACTGACACCGTGACTAGCCATCTGAGGCCTGATGTGGTCGTCGAGACGTGCAAAAGATCCCTACCAGGCGCGCCAACAGTTGGTGTTTCGAACCACCGACGAGTAAATTTGTATCTGCGTGTCTGTCCCGGATGATGTGCTTGGAGGACACAAGGATTTATACCTGTTCGGGTGGAATGTCCCTACGTTCAGTCTGCTGCTGCTCGTGTTACTGGCACTAGTTTGTAGTAGGGGTTACAAACAGACGAGAGAGGAAGAAGGTCCCAGGTCTCTTGGTGAAAGGATCGAATGGAGTTGAGTCTTGTTGAGCTCGTTTAGCCGTGTGCTCGTGCGTATGAGTGCTTGCCCCCCCTATGGGGCGTCCTGCTTCTCCTTTTATAGGTGAAGGGAAAGGTGCAGGTTAAAGAGAGAGAAAATGAGAAAAAGCGAGGGAGAAGAAGACCTCCAGGGCCGCGGCGTCCTTCATTTCTTTTATGTGGGTCCCGCCGGTCCTGTAGATGATGACAGGGATGGTTCCACGTCGCGGCCTTGTTCGTCACAGGCGCCATGCCTCGACGTCATCAGCTGGTCGTGGTATTCCATCCCGTCCCGGTGGATGGCGTGGTGAACCGATGTGCCTGTCAGCGGCTGGATGAGGATTAGGCAGCACAACGCCCACGCACCTGTCACTATTGGCGATGCGAACCCCCGGGTGTGGCCTGACGTGGCCACGGGTCACGTCAAGGCATGGCCGCTCCCCTTCTGGTTTTAGAGGCTTGACCCAGGCTCACACGCTTGGACCCGTAGTGGTTGGGGGTGGTACGGACCCGCCGGGCGAGATGGAGCCCGTGCCTGAGGGGTCGGGAGAGACGGAGCCCGTGCCCGAAGGGTCGGGCGAGACGGAGCCCGCACCCAAGGGATCGTGCGAGACGGAGCCTGTGCCCTCAGGGTCGGGCGAGACGGCTCCTGTACCCTCAGGGTCGGGTGACACGGGGCCCGTGCCCGAGGGGTCTGGCGAGGCGGAAACCGTCCTTGATTATCTAGGCGAGTTGTTGTCCGCGGTCCTCAGATCCCTTCTTCGGGTATCCCTAATACTGATACCTGACAGTTTTGTTTTATAAGGAGCAGAGGGAGTGTGTATATTTCCCCAGTCAACTGTCCCATGGAGAATGGAGCTTCAAGACAAGATTAAGAATCATCCTCGCTGTGCTGTGTTATGACGTATGTATTAATGTAATGGATGTTAATCGCTATGTAAAATTGTGTCTCGGTACTTTGTAATTTGTCGCAATTTGTGTAGTTTGACATCCTGAGCATACGTATAGTTGTTAAATGTTAAAAAACTAGACGTGAGAAACACAAACAATAGAAAATATGGGTGAGGCAGTAGTTGAATACTTGTAATAAAGCGCGTGCATTAATGTAATATAAAATTATGGATCCTGGAATTACAAACATTCGTAAGTTTCGGTGAATTTTGAACCCTGCTTCACTAGCTCATAGCTTATTTTGAGGGAAAAGATAAAAATGTCTCTTTGCTAGGAGCTCCACCAAAAGAGAGACCTTATTCTTTTATCAAGACGAAATCTGCACTGGTCCAACCATGTGCCTCTCCATTATTAAGAAAGTAAAGTAGGAACGCTGGCGGTGTCTGAAATTAAGAACATAATCTCATTATAAAATAAGATATGTGATCCGTATTTTTCTTGTACAACCACAGATACCGACACACACCACATCATTATAACACTTTTATCATACTGCCATGGTGCCTCACTGTCCATGGAAAAGGTACCTTTATTCTTCGATGACGGAAGAGTTAGTAATCTCCTCTCCCTGACCGGACGTACTGCCATATTTCATCTTTATATATATAGATATATAATAAATATAGAGAGAGTTGAAAAATCTTATTAATAATTATGCGAGACTGAGCCCGCAAAGGTGAGTCCGGAACCTCGAGTGGCCTCCTCAACAATCTTATCCAGCCTCGCCGCCATATCCAGCGTCATGTAGTTTTTCCAGTCGCCGACCTGCCCCTTCCTGAAGAACGCCTCATTCCTGAAGGCCAGCACCGTACTGCCATTCTTGTTCACGTCCATGCCCTTGAGACTCGCCAAACTGCATAGCTCCACGATCTGCTCCACCACCCCAGCCTCCTCCTCCTCCTCGGAGAACGCGCACCCCATGAACGCTGCTAGCTTCTTGAGGTTACCCACGGTATCTCCCAGCATGTCCTCGTACCTTAGGAACAGCACCTCGTTGGGCCTCCTCTGGCTCTCGTGCCAGAACTCCAGGACGTTGCGCCAGTAGGGGCCTCCGGGGTACCGTCCCTCGCAGAAGAGCTCGAAGACGTCCTCGAATTTGGTGAGGCCTGCCGCCGCCGACTCCCCGACCCAGCCGCCGCCGCAACCGACGGCGGCCAACGTCGCCGCCTCCTTGAGGCAGAAGTTCCAGAAGGAGACCAGCATGTCCTTGGGATCCCGGCACACGTACATGAGCCGGCACCCGGAGCCCTCCGCCGTGATGGCCTCGGGAGCAGGGAGTAGGGCACGTGTGTTTGTACCAGCAGTGGCCGTGGAGAACGGAGGGCCTCGTCGTCCTGGCTCACCATCATCTCCAGGAAGCCGACGCAGTCGTGGGGATTGTGGTGCCTGAGCGGGTGCTGGGCGTCGGACGGCGAGTGCGTGGCACGGTTGAGCGTCGCGAAGGCAAGGGCCTTGAGCCAGGTGGTGCCGGATTTGGGCAAGCTGGCGAGCAAGATATCAGGTGGGTTGGACTTGATGCGTGTGCGAGCGGCAGCGATGGCGTTTTGCATGGTCTCGGCTAGCCAGAAGCCACCGTACTGCCCATGGTTGTCGTTCCTCCTCGTGGTGGTGCCCAGCTGTGTTTCGCATGCAGAATAAGCGTTTAGTACGTACGTACATCGAATCATCGTCCTTCAACTCAACTGATGAAAGAACAAAGAATAAGAAGGCAACATGCATGGAATTGAATTGCCAAAGAAAACTCACCAGAATGTCGTCCTCCATGAGTTCCTCCTACCTCGCGGCTGCTCAAGGTTCATGCGGGCACGACGCCCCCAGTCAGCAGAAACTATATATATATATATATATATATATATATATATATATATATATATATATATATATATATATATATATATATGCGCTGCCAGCCAGCAGTACCAAGGGCCGGTCTCCGGGCCTGGCTAAATTTAGCTGCTAGGGATCTAAACGGTCTAGCTAAAAGACTAGTTAAAGTTTAACTGGAGCTCAAAACGTACACAATGCCTCAAGCTGTTTCAACCTAGCTAATTGCAGTTAAAAAAACCTGTGGCTAGCTGTTGTTCCGGTTGATGCCGGATACTCCGAGCTTGTGCAGTGCAGCTGGGTAAGGTTCTCGGTCGAACTCATCCAGAACGCCCTAGCTCATCGCCTGTGGACCCGCGCTCGCGCTGATGTTAACAACACACCCATCACGTGCATCAAGCTGGAAAGCTTTCCCAATCCTTCTAGCTTAGGTACCTTCCACGCCATTACGAGAGAGGCACCAGCACTAGGCACCATCAGGTCTTTCAAACATGCAGCCGCTGTTGCTATCATCCGATATATTGTGGTCCTTGTCTCGTGAGAGGTGAGAAAGAAGAATCTGACGTCGACAATGGGGGTTGTTGTACTGTCATTTTCGTCGAGGTCATCACCGTCTTTGTCCTACTCCAAAGAGATCAGAGTGCAATGACCTAGTAGGGGATTTGGGTGGTTTCTCATGATACAACTTAACCTACAAATCATCTGCTCAAGGAGCTACAAGCCTAGAAGATTGCTAATAATACATGAACAGCAACATAGAAGATTTATTACAGTACATAAGCTGTAACTACATTGAGTATATGGGCTGTTCTTAAGATCCTGCAAAACCATTATGTTCCAATAAGTCAGCTAGCATATAACAAAACAATAATTAGTAGCTGCTTGGAAAGTAACTAGAGAGGAAACTTCTACTTACTTGAACAGGCATTTAAAAAGGACAAAGATACACCTTCACGTGCAAGTTGCCATTGTATTTGCAATTCATATCAAAGGAAAATCTGCTCTGAACCTACAGCAAAGTAGAAAATAATGAGGCTACTTGGTACAGCCTAAATGTACAATCTCTGGTTCGATGAGAGTGACTTATGTATGGGTATAAATTCATCTGTAGAAAATATATGACTAGCAGTTAGCATAATGTGCAAATCTAAAATCAAGTAGCCAAATTTATACAGATAGAGAATGACAAAATTACTATGCCATTGGTTTCATTCCAATATTTTTTTGTACAAGTTAAAAGAATTGTACATGAAGACAGAAGTTGGTACATGAAGCAAAGTCATTCCTGTGGCTTAAAACTATCTGTTTGAGTCATGCCTGTCTAATTGCATGAAGCAAAGTTTTATGTACAGATCGCAGGTTAATAAAAGTTATGTTTTTATCCAAAACAATAAGTGCGCCTAAGGTATAACCTGTCAGCAATCTGCAGGAGCCTTTGTTGTCTGAATATACCAACTGCGCCAATATATAGAGCCTTTCCTTCACCACAACCCTGGTCCAATGGATTTACACCAAAGGATGTCAGAAAAGCAATTTGCAATCCCAAACGGCACTAAGACATTTTATATAACCATACTAAAGTTCATACTAGGACCAATTTGTAATATCTGCGGACTACATCAAGTCTGTTGCCTTGTGAGCAGGCAAATCGTCGAAAGCAGCACCTTCCTGTCATACAAGATGGTGAGCTGCTGAGGCCTTTTCTTGCCCCCTAACAAATATTGCAGAGCAGAGCACTAGAAGGGTGCTTGTAGAACACTAATTCAGCATACAATTGCTTAACGTATTTTCACTAGGAAACTGAACATATGCAGTAATCAATAAACTAGAGCACCAACCAATAGCAGCACAACAGTAGTAGTACTTGATAAAAGAATATAACTAGTCCAGACATTTGCATCTATTATCTGAACAATATCTCCAGTTCTAGTATTTTTCCCTAATCTGAAAATATATTTTACAAGTTTGTGGCTAGAGCTAGAATATAATTTAGAAAATGTAAGTTTGTGCATAGAGCTAAAACCTGAAAAAGGTGCCAGAAACATACAATGCAAGTCATACTTCATCAGCATCATACAAGAAAGCCATCAGCCCTGCAAATCCATAAAAGCTTCAATTTAGAGCTAGAGCAGTCTTAATTTGTAAACTCTGAATTTTTTTGGCATCACATCACTGTAAGCCTGTAACAATATGTGAGCGCACTAATTTGTCGAAGTGGATCATGCACAACAATTTGTTGTTTCAATGCTTCCATATTTACTTCAGCATTTCAGCAAACACCTAACTACATGAAACACATCAGAAAGTGGATCATGGTCAATAATTTGTTGTTTTACTTTGAAGAAATATTTTGAGGAAACCTTATACTATAGATTAGCACCACACTGAAGTAAAGCACTTATACTGCATGATTAGATGAAATCAAATCAATTAGAGATCTAGTTGATGCAAGCTACAAAGTGATTAAAAGGTTCAGTCTACAAAAATTATATTGATCAAATGATTAGCCTAACAGACTGGGGATGTTTTTTCATATTAAGCAGAAGTTTTGAATTACTTGTTACCATGTGATCTAATAGTGTTAGGAATGAAAGTGTTAAACAGTGTTTTTAGAATTAAACCTGTGCCAGTAGTGTCAAGCAGTAGCATTTGGCTTTGTTTACAGCACCTTGAGCTTTGCTTACCTAAGTAGGGCGTGATGAAGCTGCAACACTTCTCGTCTTGCCCGGTGGGGGGAGCCCTCATCATAGGAGGCAGCAGAGAAGTCGCCATAGCCTCCGCCGCCACACAGTTCTCTATATCTAAGGAGTATACAGTTAGCAACTTCTAAATTGTACAAGTAACTTGTGCAAGCTTGCAAAATTGTGCATACTGTCTAAGGAGTATACAGTCAACAATTTACATCTGCCAGATATTATTATTATTATTATCATTGAGTTTACACTAAAGAATTTTGCAGCCAAATGGTACTCAAATCAAATTTCTAGTAGGTAAATAACAAGTGAACTGACTTTTATTTTCCTAACCTTAAGAAAAAAAAACTACAATCTTCACAGAGCATTCAAATCAAATTTCTAGTAGGTAAATAACAAGTTAACAATTAGTCAGAAAAGAAATGTCATGGTAGAAAATTTTAAAACAAAGCTAATTTCAACAGAAATGTGCTACAAAAGACTAGGCCATAAGTATGTGCCAGTCTAACTTAAAATGAACATATGACAATATTAAACATGGTTGAGTCATCTGTATCTGGTAGAGTCAGATTGTTCAACTGCAGTTCAAGTTATTCTTTTTACTACAGTTAGAATTGGCAACTATAGTTCTGCTAGAGTCAGATTGTTCAACGGCAGTTCACAAAAAAGCGAGCTTCCACTACTCAATACCAAAGGAGAACACATAATAGATAATCACTACAGGAAACACGTGATTTGCCGAGTGCAAAAATCTTTGCCGAGTGCCAGATTTCGGGCACTCGGCAAAGACCTGCTTTGCCGAGCGCCGCACTCGGCAAAATATGACACTCGGCAAAGAGGCCTTTGCCGAGTGCCTAGCACTCGGCAAAGATCTACACTCGGCAAAGGCTGTCTTTGCCGAGTGCCTGGCACTCGGCAAAGGCAGACACTCGGCAAAGATTGGTAGGGCTTAACGGCATCCAGTGGCGTCCTCTTTGCCGAGTGCCCCCCGTTTGGCACTCGGCAAAATATATTTTTTTATTTTTTGCCACCAATTTTTTTTGAAGCTTTAGTACACTACCACAAACAACATGTTTAAATTTGGGACATTTTCATTGCCTTTTGGCATATTTTTATAGTTTATTTTGTTTTGTTGAATTTTTTCAGAAAATGTAAGTTTGAACTGCAGGTGCAACGAATAATGGATTACATTCGTTCAAAAAATGTTATCCTTGTTTCTTAGTGTAAATTTAGGCTAAATTCAGGAACTGTCTCGAAATTTCGATCAACGTGCTCACGGGGCAACGCCGCCAACCTGCGTGGGAGTGGTTTTTTAATTGTATAAAATGCGAACGAATTCCGAAAATCATGAAACTTGTCGAGTTGTCGCCGTATCGTATGCGTATGCCGTGGAAAAATTTTGAAAAAGTTTCAAGCATGTTGTCAAGTACGATGCTCACAAACCAGGACATCTCCACATGTGATCACATTTTTCCACGGCATGCGCATACGATACGGCGACAACTCGACAAGTTTCATGATTTTCGGAATTCGTTCGCATTTTATACAATTAAAAAACCACTCCCACGCAGGTTGGCGGCGTTGCCCCGTGAGCACGTTGATCGAAATTTCGAGACAGTTCCTGAATTTAGCCTAAATTTACACTAAGAAACAAGGATAACATTTTTTGAACGAATGTAATCCATTATTCGTTGCACCTGCAGTTCAAACTTACATTTTCTGAAAAAATTCAACAAAACAAAATAAACTATAAAAATATGCCAAAAGGCAATGAAAATGTCCCAAATTTAAACATGTTGTTTGTGGTAGTGTACTAAAGCTTCAAAAAAAATTGGTGGCAAAAAACAAAAAAAAAATATTTTGCCGGGTGCCTAGGGTTGGCACTCGGCAAAGTAAATTCTTTGCCGAGTGCCGCCCAGCTGGCACTCGGCAAAGAGCTGCTGAAATTTTATTAAAACTTCACCGAGTGCCAGGTCACGACACTCGGCGAAGAAAATTGACTTTGCTGAGTGCCGCCGATCTGGCACTCGGCA